CTTCCTTATCTCTGTCAACAGATGCAGGGGGTGGGACAGGTACCCATGTGGGGCCACGTGGGACTAAGGACCGGAAGAACGATTCTGATTGGTTGGGGGCGGGACTAAGAACCGGAAGAACGATTCTATATCTATATTGTATATATCTATATTGTGTGTGATGAGGACACTCTATGATGATGGTCCTTTATTAGAACAATAATCTACACTGTTAAAAATGTCCTGTGACAATAAATGAACATGTGACCTGAGGTGTAGCTCCTCCCCAGTGTCCTCTCCTCTCTGCTCTGGCTGCACAAACTGTTTTAACAGCAGCTTCTTCGTGATCAGACAAAGGAGAAAACAATACTCACTGAATAGGACCCGTATAATAATACCACGCTAATGTACAGTGTATTCTTTGTCATTCCTTAATTAATGAAAGTTTTTATAGCTTCTTATTCTGTTCTAGTTCTGTGACTGGTGTTCACAGTTTTCGTAACGTCACTTCCTGCTCTGGCTATAAAGGAGTTTCCCTGCAGGCATCACTGCTCTGTCTAATATTATTTTCAGTGACCGACTTTACTCATAGTGCTTCTAATTAACAACTCCATCTCTTTCACCTCAAGAGAGCCAGAATAAGATGAACTTGTTTTGTGGTACAGGCTCCTGACCTTGTTGTGTTGCTGCTTCCCATCCGTGTGCATCAGTGCCATGTACCAAGCTCTAGTGTGAACACTGCTGAGCTCCTAAACTGTCACACATGCATAGATGTAACTGAAATGTGAGCCATGTGAGCACAAGAATAACAACCAGGTCGTGTGTGCAACGGTCAAATGGCCCAGTTTCCTCCCAAACTGCTGGGTTATGATATGTTCCTTCCAGTTTGGCCTGATCAGAAGCTTTTCCATAAATGTCCACCACATGTGAAACATCCTGGTCTCTCCACTGACCCCATTCCTGACTCCTCTGTATTTATTGTTACTGGTCTGTGAGGGACTGACGCGGAATGATGATGACAGGCCCTAGGTGCAGAGGAGCAGACGTTAAAACAACCACAATATGTTGGAACACAGAGAAACCACCAGATTGGAGCACAAGATACATGGGGCTATAAACAATTTTATTAGGTATACACTTTCATGAATTGTCATCAGAAGACATGCTGCTGTCTTGACCTATTCAACACAAAATAACTGTTACTGCGTTTGTTGTAGAAAATAGGTTCACTGAGTTCTCTGCTTATCTGGATGCACTTTAAACCTGGAACCTGACTCAGTCCATCAAAGTAATACTACATACTATAGTGTCATTAATCCCCCCTAGTATAACTAGCATAGTAAGTATGAGAACAATAATGATAAATAATGTGAAGGTAGATCACTTGAAAGACTGGATTCTGTAAATTGATTATAGCAAATTTGAACAAATGAAACATCTGTACAAACAAAATTTACAGTATTTTAAAAACATACCAGGTCAATAACAGGGAACTATGACTTCATGAATTTCCCTCTGTGCTTTTTGAATCTATGAATTATATTGGACAAGCAATTTTGCTAACCATTAGAGAACCAAAGATCACTGCTCTGATCTGAGGCAGGTTCAGGCCGTAAACCAGAGGGTTCATGAGGGGAGGGATGATCAGAAACTCCAGAGATAAAGCAACAAAGACAAATGATTTTACTTCATTAACATTATACCAACTCAGTGAAACCTCACAGAATATTGAGATGCAATAGTTCCCAAAGGTCACTATGTGGGGCAGGCAGGTCTGTAAAGCCTTTCCTCTGAATTCAGATGAACTTCTCCTGCAGACAAGCAGAATGCGCAGGTAGGTGTACAGGACAAAGGACAGGGGGGTAAAGATTGATGTCACAGCAACACTTTGACCTACTATGTTGATCACAACTGTGTCCACACAGGAGAGCTCAACTACAGACCAGTTGGTACAAAAAATTCTGTGCAGTTTATTTCCACACAAAGGCAAACTGCTGGCCATATATAAAAAGTAGGCAACAATTAATACAGGGAACAACACAGCAAAACTCAAAAGCAGCAGCACCGTCCTAAATGTCATTTTACTGTGATAGTGTAAAGGCTGGCAAATAGCAACAAACCTGTCATAGGCCATGACTGTGAGGAGAGTCACCTCATGTCCTTTGTAAGTGTTAGTAACGTACATCTGAATGAAACAGAGTGGACGTGAGATGAAATGAGTGTCGGACAGAAGGTCCATCAGGAACCTGGGGAAGAAGCCGGTCGAGCCGTACAGAGAGTTTAAACACAGAGAGCAGATGAAAATATACATGGGCTGATGCAGAGAGTTCTCCAGGCAGACTGACAGAACAATGACAAGATTAGCAGAGATTATAGTCATGTAGATTATCAGAGAGAGGCTGAAGAAAAGATATCTGAGGGGCCCATAGTCTGCAAATACAGTGAACTGAAAATAGGAGGGAGTCAGACTGATGTTGCTCTTCATATCTGCACAGCTGCATCAGGACGAGTCAGCGTGACGGAGGGAGAGGAGTTAAAAGACAGATGGCTAATGGAGATTAAATGTTCTGAATTAAGAATCTGCTTTTAGTATTGTAAAAACTACATGCATATAAAAATATTTCTAATTAAGGAACCCAGCATATTTCAGTATAATAATGCAAGTCATATAACATGAAAAAACATGTTTAAAACTTTCCCAGATGGAAAAAATTGCAGTGCACTAAATGCACAACCAGCATCACATTTCTCATGTCAAACAATCAGCACCTTAAACAGCATCTGAGCACAGAGAATAAAGAATGTAATGTGGTTATAAAGTGTGACAGCTGACATTCAGCTTCCTGCTCCTACATGAAAGTGTGACAGCTGACATTCAGCTTCCAGCTCCTACACATCCATGTTCACAACTGATGGGGCCACAGTTCTTCACTGAGAGCTCTCCTAGTGTAACCCAAACTGAAGCAGCTGCTGGACTCTCATCCTGTTTTGTTGTTACACTGAGAGCAGCCACAAACACAGACTGGGCCCAGAGGGACATAATGGAAGTCTAGGCCTTCACTGACTAACCCTGTTGTCTTTAATGTTTTTACTCAGGCTGTAATCATAACAATACAAAAGACACACCAGGCTGATCACAAACTTATAGGGGCAAGGCAAAGCTAGGTCCGTCAAGGATGTTCTTGCACATATGCTGGGGTCAGATGATAATCTGATAATCAGAATCCATAAAAAATAAATTAAAAATTCCCCACTCACCCTACTTCAGGGCAGTCTTATTCCTTTCCTTCAAGCTCGAGTCCTCTACCAGGGGAAGGAAGGAATACAACCGAGTGGGGGATTTTTTGAATATATACAAACAAGTATGTATATACTCATATATATATA